CAAGCAGACTTGTCTCGCCCACATCGTTTACACTCATGCTCTTGATCTGGCACTGCGAGGTCAAGGCAAGCGTCAAGGAGCTCTGCGACAGCAAACTTAAGGCTTGAAGCTGTGAAACCTGGCTTAAGAAGCCTTACTGTGGCCAGCACAGCTCGGTTGCACCGACGCAGCCACTGCTTGCCAGGATGCCAAAACCAAGACACGATTTTCCGGTAACAGGAGTGAGCAGGTTTCACGCACGTGCGGGAGAAGGTCTTATAACACTTACTCTTAACAGACCCGAAAACGTAGGGGAGGCCAGCCTTAAACCACCTACTACGGGAAAATCGGGGGATACTACAATGTTTGCTGGCCCAGTCGAAGGTTGATCGCATGCCTTCCAAGGCTGCTTCCGGGCTGAGGCCTGTTGGCTGCCAGTGCTTGCTATCATCATGCATGAGGGCATCAAGGCGGAACACATAACACTCAGCGTCTTGTCGCCACAGAGTAGCATTGTCCTTGTCTTCAACGACAAGAGCTTCTCCAGCAGCGGGCGCTGTCATGTCAGCAGTGTAGTGCGCAAACTCATTGGACATAACGGGCTCCTTTGAGGCTGCAGCACACGCGGTGTCAACCCATGTTTCGTACAACGCATTCGAGGGCATTTGTTGACGACAACACTGCAACCAGTCACACACGTCAGACACAAATGTTCGTGAAACTGTCACAAAATCTCGCCAATGCGGGAGTTTCCAGTATTTCTTAACGCGTACCAGGTCACGTCCGCAAATCGCGGAGGATTTCCAAGCAGCCGGCTTAGCACGCAACCCACGCACGTCACAACTGCGTGAAACCTCAGACTGGTTGTTGCCTGACCCTGCAAAGGTTGCACCGGGCACGGGGCTCAACTTGATGTGCTTTCGCATCCACGCCCAACGGGCCGGACAGTGACATGACACAGTCTGCGCACACTGACGGAGTACAAGCCGTGCTGCAGGAAGACCAAGTTCAGGCGGCACCTTTAGGCTTATGGTTCTGGCTGGAGGCTCCCCTGCCAGTCTTAGAGCAAACTGCAGGCGACGCAAGCCTAGTTTTCGACGACCGGAAGTCGGCACAAGTTTGAGGAGGTCATACAACTTGAACAACTGTTGATACCCACGTGGCTTTTTTAGCAACGTCTGCCATTGCATCACAGCAGGACGGTAGCAAATCCACGCAACAAGCAAGTGTGAAAGCTGTCCAAACACATTCACCGGACCGTACGTTCCATGTTCTTGCACGTGCGCGGCAAGGCACAAGGCATACATGACAGGAAATGGCCGAGAGAGCAATGAAATGCTCACAGTTTCACGCGCTTTCGCGCATATTTGACCAGCACGGCGCCTGACGTCAACCTGCACAAGGCGGGATATCTCATCATCCCGTGGCCCTTCAGTCAGGCCGGCTTGACCAACTTGGCGTGCATGCTTGTGTGGTCTGCGCCGTGAAGCCGCACCAAAGGAGTCCCGGGCTTTGTTTGCCAAAGACGGCCTGCCCATCGTGGGGCCATGCCAGAGTGTGTTCAAGGCGGGCTGCAAGGATGCAATGAGAGTCTTCTCGAAAGCTCGTGCTTGCAGGTCAGGTCCGGCAAACACAACCAAGGCACCAAGGTCACAAGGCGACTCAAGCTTCAACAACCGGGTTTTAGCACAAGCGGCGCCGCAACGATCAACACAACTTGCTTCATAAAAATGCTCATTGACTCGAGGCACAGGAGCTCCAAGTCTCGCACTCTTGCTAGCACGCATGTGTGAGGAGTAGCCAACGTATACTTCTTTATGCCTGCCACCAACAATGTAGACAACAGCATCCAAGCATTGAGGTTTCAAAGGCTCCGAGACTTGAAGGCTTACAAAAGCGTCAAAAGCTTTTGGCACTGCAACGGGAGGCCACCATCCGGTCTGAACACTGTTTCGGACGGCCTCAGGCAAGAACTGGAGCCTGCGACGTGCGACTTTGCGACGGCGACTCCCAGCATGCAACTGCCAGGCAGTGAGGAGGAGCCAGCGGCTCACACCCAACAACCACGTCCAGAGTTCACATTTTGCGCGACCTGCCACGCGTTTCTGAGAAACTGAAGGCCTTAGCCACTCATGCGCGCGATAATTCAATGCCCCCAAGCCTCGCAAGAGGGCAGGTGACACAAGGCATGTGGACAAGGACTCCAACACGAGGGCGAACAGCAAAGCAACTGCTGCACATTCTTGTGCAGAAAACACCTTTTTAAGGCCTGTACAAATGCGCTGCGTGTGGTGCAGAAGCTGATGGGCTTTCAAGTGCCGCAAAGCAAGGTCAGCAATTTCAAACCTGATTGCATCACAACAATCTTGAGCACACAGCGACTCCCAATCAGAGTCTGGCACCCATCTTGCTAAGCCTCGATCTTGGTAACGAAAAAAGTGCTTATATTTGTGTGGGGTTTCTCCAAACATAGGCACGTTGCAAGGAGGCACAAACAACACCACTCAACCACGCAGCCAAGCTTGACACGGATAAGCAATCTGACAACTGCTCTTCTTGGGTGTGACAGTGACAACCGAAGGTCCAGACGCAACAACGCAGACCCGGAAAAGTCACCTAACATACAGCTAACGCGAGTTGAAGTCAACTGGTGAACGTGGCAGGGTGCAACACCAGAGTTTTCACACGGACTGCTCTGGACTCGTCTGCGTTCCGGAAGGGGCCTGAGCCTCAAAGGAACTTGAAGCCAATAGCAAACCCTAAACCCTAAACCAAACCGTGGTTAGGGTTTAGGGTTCCAGGGTTTAGGGTTTGGAGTTTAGGGCTCTAGGGTTCCAGGTTTAGGGTTAGAGGTTTAAGGTCCCTTTAAGCGCTCTATAGGTTCCTTTGGGGGTTCTATGATAAGGGTTCGCCCGGGTCTAGATTTAGGGTGTAGGGTTTAGGGGATCCTTGAATAGGTTCCTTTAGGGGCTCTATACAGGGTTTCTATTTCTAAAATGAGGATTTAGGGTTTTGGGTTCCTGTACAAGGTTCCTTTTGAGGGATTTCTATCATCAGGGTTTGAGGGTTGCAGGTTTGGTCAGGGTGTTGCTAATTAAGTGTTCCAATAAGGGTCCTATAATAAGGGCTCATAGGAGTTCGGAGCTTGGGGGTTTAGGGGATTTAGGATTTATTTAGGGTTTCGTTAAGGGTTCCTTCTGAAGGTTTGTTTTCGGGATCCTTTTTAGCGTTCCTCTAGGGGTTCTATATGGGGTCTTATGAGGGTTGAAGGTTTTTGGGGTTCGGGGCCTTGGAATCAGGGTTTTGCGCAGTGCTTTGGGGTTTCGAGGGTTTCCCTACCGGGTTCCGCTAAGGGCTCTATCTATATGGGTATTGGGTATTCTATACTGACGGTTAAAAAGACGCTGGGGGATTTAGGCCTCAAGGACTCTGTGAGTTAGGGTTTACTGCTTTGGGAGTTAATGTTTAGGGCTTAGGGCTTTGAGTTCAGGATTTTACGGTCGTGGATGTAGGGTTCAGGGCTTTTGGATTTAGGCTGGTGTTGGGCATTAGATTGATTTTACTTGCTGTTTTGCAAGCGGGGCGGAGGGGTGAGGCTGCGGGGTGTTTGCTTCTTTGGGTGTGTTTTCGAACGCGTTTGAAGGCATATGGCTGGGTTTTAGCCCCTTCAATTCTAGGATTTCACAATACTTGGGGCTTTTACAACCGCGCAAGAACCAGGGAATAAGCACTGTTTTTAAAGGCCTTCCATGGACTCCGAACCTAAACCCTAAATCCTATCCTATCCGAAAGCCGAAACCTTTGACCCTACAACCCTTCAAGCCGTGTAGAACCGCTTTAAGTGGGCACCTCGTGGTGTCGCAGCGCTGCCTTCGACTTCGGCACACCGCCAGTCCGCCGCCGCTGCTGTAGGAACTCATCGTCCTTTCTCTTGGTTGGGCCGAAAACTGCTCCGGGTCGCACAATCATAAATAGAAACCGGGGGACCAACAACCTCCTCAATGACTCTATGACCCTAGTTTCCACGAGTGACATGGGAATCCCAGACCCGATATCCCGCAAGTGCTAACACCCCCTTTCCGGAATCCTGAAAGGAGCACGTGAAGAACCCGAATACCATCTATATATATGCATATGTATATACATTTTTGTATGTATATGTATGTGTATACATATATATATCTATATATATATATGTATCCTTTGTCCTGGTTCTCCGCCTCATGGGCACAGATTCCCTCTGTGGCGCTGTCTGCAGCACTCACCTGTGGTAGTTTAGGTTTAGGGTTAAGGGTTTAGGGCTTTTGTGTGTAACGAGGGGGTGGTTCCATGGGGAATACGGCTAGAACTTGCGACTGATCTTTATGCTGCCGATGCAGGTGCTGCAGCTGACAATGACGGCCAGCATTTACGCTTTCGTCAAAGTTGTTCGTACTAGCCGTCTTCATGCCGACTCAACTTGCGGGACAGGCGGACCGTTGCAATGAATATGCAGTTGCTGATGCGATACGATGGCGATGTCTCATAACTATCGTGAAACTTTAATGATACAACCGCCGCAGTCATCATCACTATCCACACCGTCATCATAATCCACAGTAACAGCTCCATGCCAGTGTTTATCGTTGTTCACACACTCATCTGCACTTTCAACTGGTGGTCGTGCTGTCAGTCAGAACGAGAATCACACACAGCTTGCAAAAGGTACCATCGCACTTTTGATCTGGACAAAACCCTTGGCATCGAGGGGCTTTGAGCTTGCGGTCCTGGCTGCCTGACGCTTTGGTGAAACTAAGTGCTCTGTTGTTAACAAAATTAAGAACATTGACTGTGCAACTAAAGTGCCCAAACTCCGACTCCAATGCCCTATATCACCAAGCTCAACACTCCTACACACCTTCAATTAAATCCTTATAAAACATAACACCTCAACCGGAAACCTTACACCCTAAACCCTAAACCCAGAACCCTACATCCTCAAACGTCAGAGCTTCAGCCGAACCCTGGTTGCTCCGAGAGGCTACGGCGGGCCACAATGGTCCGGTATCCGACATGCACTTTAGCATGTCGGCAAACCATTCCTGTGTTCAGAGAGTTAAGGGCTTTAGGATTAGTGTCATGGAAAACACGAGTTTGGTTTGACAAGATAAAACGCAGGGTTTGAGGCGTAGAGTTAGAGATCAGAAAGCCAACCTGCTGCGCAATATCACAACAACCGTGAAGTGGTGTTCTCCGTCCTTTTCTTGCTCTCCCTCTCCCTCTATATATCCCTCTGTCTGCCTGTTGTCTCATCTTCGGTCTCTCTCTCACAGCATGTCTGAGCGCATAATATCATAGATGACAAGGTGCTAGTACGCCCCGATTTACACATACTTCTCAGCGAAGTGAACCGCGGATTGTTGACATCTTCTGATCTTCTGATTGATAGTAACAGTAACAGTAAGAATCCTGGAGAACCAAAGTACTGCCGCTTGTCATCTCCAATACTCTAAATACTTCCTTCATCAGCAGCAAGTATGCAGGGTAAAATAGGTTCCATGATGTAGCATATCACGTGCGCCGTACACGCGTCTAATCGGTTTGTGCAGCTTGTGGCTCGCAACGGGGCCACTTCTTGTAGAGACTCAGATGTAGACGTGTTCAACACAGCCAATCCACGCTCGCAGTGTGATTGAATGGTGGACGGCCTCAGAAACAGATGCGATTGAACCAAGGTATATGTCTACCACGGAACCGGCGTAGTTTAAATATACAGGTTCGAACTTGAACCGTGGTTGTATGCATGCCGCACCTGCTGTCTTCCTTGCAAGTCTTCGACCTTAGTAAGCATGATATCCAAACCTCCCAAACTCCGAACCCTAAACCCTTAAGCCCTGAACCCCCGAAAAACCAAGCCCCATGTTCCTAAACTCCGAAGCCGCAAACCAAAAGAGTGTCCGACCCCGAAGACCCTCAAGCCCCAAACCCGTTAGAGAGTCTAGTCTTCGGGGTTGAGGGTTCGAGTTTAGGGTTTAGGGGCTTGGGNNGTTTAGGGTTTAAGGTTTACGGTTTCCGACCTGCCTGCAGAGAACGCGATCCACGTGCCAACTCCACTTCCCACCAGCGAGGAGAGTAGCGTGCGGTGACGTCCCGGTATCTGAAGCCTTGCTGTGCAGTTAAAGTGTTTTTTGTTGTCTCCTGTTGGCTTGTTTTGGGTGTGTTTGGCGGTTTAGGACTTTTAGGATGTTAAGGTTTAGGGTTGTTTCCAGGGCGAGGGGACAAGCATCAGCAACAAATACTGGGTTGAATGCTATATAGTTTGTATGTTTGTATGAATGAACGTATGCATGCATTTATGTATGTATGTATGTATGTATGTATGTATGTGCATGTCTATGTGTGTATGCATGTAAGTGGTGTGTAAAAACACATACATACGTACATACATACATACATACATACATACATACCTA